TCTTTCACAGAGTGCTGATTCTTTAGTTATAACAGGTAATTAAATTTCTAACTTGAACTTGTGAATGCTGGGCTCTTGATTAAGATTTTTGTCCTGGGGCTGGGGCAATGGTACAACAGGTAGATCACTGGCAGTGCACGTGGCTGAGCAAGGTTTGATTCCCAGCACACCTACCCAGTCCTCTGAGTCTCACTTGGAGTGACCTCTGAGCTATGAGTCAGGCATAGCCCCTGAGTACATCCAGTCTTGGTCCTAAAACTAAAATATATATAGAAATAAAAATATAACTGCTTGCCTTTAGTTTGAATCTTTATTCTCAAGACATGAACGTTCTGAGTTTTCATAATAAATAAAATTAAATGTATTTTCCAAGCAACTCTACCTAACTTGGTTGGGATTTAAATTCTAAGTTCTACAGGCCACAGTTGCTGGCAGCAGCTGAAATTTCTGCTCAGTTTTTTCAGCTTCTCATCTCTAGTTTTCTGGGGGGCTCACTCACTAGTTCTTTCCCTTACACTGGCATACAGATAGGGGTCATCCAAGGATACAGGAGAGTTTATCTGCTGAATGGGAGCTCTCTTCTAATGTCTCCCTGCGTTCTGGAATTTCCTCCCGTATGTCCAGCCACTTGGCAGTCCCTGAGCTCCTTCCCACTCACATTGCGAGTCAGTAGGACTGTGGTTTTCTCTCCGAGACGGAGTTTGTGGACCAAGGAGAGTGCCCAGAGGAAGCTGGATAATGTAGACCTCCCCTGGTTCAATAGTGTTCATTCAAATATCTAACCCCCAATATTTTGCACTTAGATTATTCTCTAATGTCTTCAAATAGTTGTTCTTTTAAATAGTTTGTCCAATATTTATAACAGTAATCCATAGGGTAGTTAATGCAATAGAAGCTTTTCCATCATTAACGTAATTGGCACTCTCACAAAAATTTTAATTTTTTAATGTGTAACGAATAAACTATACTTTTCATTGTTAGGAATACTTTTAGCATTATTAAATAATTATTAGCTGAAGAGATCTTCAGGTGCTATTCAGAACACTCTGTTCTACCAAGCAATGACTAAAACGTACCATGATCAACTTCTTTTCAGAGAGCCCAAGGGGGTGGGCAGAGCAATAGCACAGTGTGTAGGGGATTTGCTTTGCATGTAGCCTACCTGGGTAGAGCCCCCAAAGGAACCCCCAAGCCTGCCAGGAGTAATCTCTAAGGTCAGAGCCACATGTAAGCCCTGAGCACTGCTGGGTGCGGTGCCCCCTCCGAAATCAAATCAAATCAAACAGACCATAAGAAAACGCTTCAGGAAGCTCACTTTCTAGTTTTTGAAGGACTGTCCATATTGTGGGAGGTAATACTGGGCACACTGGTGGTGGAGTATGTGCACTGGTAGGGTGATGGGTGTTTGATCATTGTATGACTGAAACTCAAACATGAAAGTTTTGTGACTGTATCTCACAGTTATTCAATTAAACAAATAAATAAATCACGAATCACAACCATCCTGTTATTTGTCGATTACCTCGAGCAGGTCCCAGTAACGTGTCCTTCATCCTAGCCCTGAGATTATATTCAAAGCTCTTTAGGAGAATGAGACCCATCATTGTTACTGGTATTTGGCATATTGGGTACGCCACGGGGAGTTTGCCAGACTCTGCCGTGTGGGCAGGCTACATTCGGTAGCCTGCCAGTAAATAAATTTAAAATAAATAAATAAATAAGTAAAAAAAAGAAAATGTTTCATCAGAAAATGAGCTTACTGTCTGGAGACACTTAGCTAAATCACATTAAATGACTCACAGTATCATGAGATTATGTAGGTAGAGGGACACGTAGGCTTTAATGAAGTTGATCTTTCCCACCAAGCCATGAATATGAAAGATATTTCCCCCAGGCCTTGTACGTATTAGTTACAGTTTTCTTTGTTTCACCCCTTCATTTATGAAGCTCACGAGTTTTGGTGTATTTTCCTCCTCTTCTGTCCCCCTCTTGTGTCATCCTCTAGCACGTGCACACTTTTGGACCTAGTGAACTTTCCCAAATCATTCTGACTGCTTGGATTCAGTTTCTTGAACTTACTCCCTTCCGGTGTTATATGCTGAAGTTCTAACATTACAGTATGTCAGAATGTGATCTTATTTGGATAAAAAGGTCTTGATAGAAATGAACTCAGACTCACGGTTAGCATGGACTAGTCCAATATTACCAGTATGCTTTTCCTCTCCTTTAAACACCATAGTTTACAAGATTGTTCATGATGATTTGATACAGGCATTCAATATTCCAACACCAATCCCACCACCACTGTTACCCACCCTCCACGATTTTCTCCATTTTCCCACGCAACCCTCAGTTATTTTCCACTAGCAGGCCCACAAAATTTTATTTTACATTGCTTTTACTACTAAATGGCTAACAGAATGGCCAAAAAATATTTCCATGAAGAAAATTTGTGAAAACATGTTCTATCTCACCATGGGGACCTGAAGTCTTTGTTGGGCAGTTTACTCAGCTTTTGTTGCAAATGACTAGTATATTTTTTAAAAAAAATGTATAACTAGTATTCTTTAAAAAATGTCTATTTAAAGACTCACAAGGTAATATTATATAATAGACCCCAGGAAAGCTGACCCTCAGCCAAACAAGGACCGTGACTGGACGCTGCCTTGGTGTGGAACACTGGAGTCTGCCAAACACAGCTTTTGTGTTTCTGAAAATAAACACAGGCTAGTGGCAGTTTTCCAATATATTTCATAGTTTTGTTTCAAATACTTAAAAATATCTTTGTTAATGAAGATTTACAAAAAAACAATTGTTAAAATTACCACTTTTTCTAAAATTACCTCTAAAAAATATAACAACTTGGAAAAAGCTTACTTTTTTTGAATAAATTTAAAGAGCACTTTAATTTTAAGCACATAAGGTACACTCAAATTTAAGTATTCTTTTGTTTTTAACAATTTTATTTTTTTTCACATAAAAAGCTTACATTTTACTGGCATAATTTTTTATGAAGTCAAATGTTACTCAAAGGGCTAATTTTTAAAAGTTGACTCTATCCCTTTCAGTTCTTGAGAATACCTCCAGATGGCATTCTTTTTCTATTATATTTTTATAGTATAAGAAATTAGTAATATTTTAAACACTTAAATTCAGTCACAGTCATTATGCCATTACAACAGTGGAACTACTTACAACTTTTAGGACATTTTTATTGTTGTTGTTTTGGGTCACAATGGTGGTGCTCAGGGGTTACTCCTGGCTCTGCATTCAGGAATCACTCCTGTTGGTGCTTGGAGAACCATATGGGATGCCAGAGATCGAACCCAGGTCTGCTGCATACAAGGCAAGTGCTATGCTGTGCTATCTCACCAGCCCAGGAAAATATTTTAATACAAACAAATTCATAACGTTTCAGAAGGTTATGTGAGTTTAAGGATCTTGCTAGACTGAGAAACAGTACTTGGCAAAATTAAGATGCTCAATAACATTTTTCTAACAAGCTGTCAGTTATATTCTTAATAAAATCATTTAAAACATTTAATAATTAATGCACTCATCCGGTAAAAAGGTAACGGGAGGGCCTTTACCTTTTTACCTTTACCACATAAATTAACTTTTGTAATAAAAAACATCTGCAATAGCAGGGCTGGAGCGATAGCACAGCGGTAGGGCGTTTGCCTTGCACGCAGCCAACATGGCCGACCCGAGTTCGATTCCTCCGCCCCTCTCGGAGAGCCCGGCAAGCTACCGAGAGTATTCGATATGCCAGACACAGTAACAACAAAGTCTCCAATGGAGACGTTACTGGGCCCGCTCGAGCAAATCGATGATCAACGGGAGGGCCTTTACTTTACTTACTTACTTTACTAATAAAAAACATCTAATCCCTCAGTGATAAGACTTTTTTCTTGTTAAGAATATTTACCTATTTTATTTATTAATTTATTTAAATTTTATTGAATCACCATGAGATAGTTACAAGCTTTCATTTTTGGGTTACAATCACACAATGATCAAACACCCATCCCTCCACCAGCGCACATTCCCCACCACCAATATCCCCAGTAGACCCTCCCTTTCCCACCCTCCCCTTGCCTCCATGGCAGACATAATTCCCCATAATCTCTCTCTCCTTTTGGGCATTATGGTTTACAATACAGACACTGAGAGGTTATCATGTTTGGTCCTTTATCCACTTTCTGCACACATCTCTCATCCCAACCAATTTCTCCAGCCAGAATTTTCTCAGTGATCCCTTCTCTATTCCAGCTGCCTTCTCCTCTTTGCTCATGAGGCAGGCTTCCAGCTATGGAACAATCTTCCTGTCCCATGTATCTACTAGGAAGTGATAAGAATTTTAGGGAACAAAATTTCTTGTCAAGCTAAAATAACTTGTTAGTGCATAATTAATATATAGTGCATAGATTTGGCATCAAATTAATCATGAAGAACACATTAGGATTCCTTGAAAGAGGAAAAAATAATAATATGAAATATACACCTTTCCCTAATTAAAAAAATAATTATCAATTAAAAATACCTAGAAGTCTGTCCTGATTTGAGAGAGTTATGATTATGGCCTGTCTGTGTTTTTTCCTTAATTCAGAGTTGAAGTACAGATGGCAGACTTCTAAAATGACACTGGAGCTCCAGGAGAAAACTTTGGCAATTATTTATGTCACTCTTGAAAATCTCTAAACAAACCAGATAGGGCTTCTCTTCTTCCCTCCCTCTCCTGGTGCACACTCTGAAGTCTCATTACATTTCTACTTATAAAGAGGAGCACTTCGTTTTCAAGATTACTGTGATAAAGCAAGAAAAAGAACTAAAAATGCATCAATTCCTCAAAGCATTTAAAAAGGACATTATCATGAGAAAAAGAAGCACAATGGCTTCCTTCTGTCATTCTTATGACTATTATATGATTCTTGCCCTGTTTCCTCTTCCCAGCATTTTAGAGAACAGTCATCTCAGAGAGAAACAGCAGAGAGACTTACGATGTATTTGACGTCCCATTGTCTGGACTGGCAGGCTCAGCGTCACCTTTCTCTTAAAAAGGAAGCAGAAAAAAAACCCACATGTGAGTATTAGAGTCCTTAAGAATTAAGAGAGATTAAATATATTTCCATGTTCCTATTAACAATCTTTCAAAATGTGCAGTGGGAGGCTTTTAAAGTATCATTTTATTGTCAGAGAATTAGATTCAGAAAATCATTCTTCTCTGTAATGCATTTGCCCAGGCAGCTATCTGGGAGCAGGTCTGAAGGAGCTGTTTGCAAACAACCAGAGCCCAGAGCAAAGGCCCTGCCAGAAGATGAAATCTTACAGATGAAACCTGTTTCCTTCCACTTCACTTCACAGAAAGTTTTAAGGAAATAAACCCATTAGCATTCTACATGAAAGGCACTCTGAACTTCGATCCCTTCTGCTAATACAAGCCAAACTGGGTCAGAGTGCATCAGAATTTGGAGGATTTTACAAAACATGAAGGTTGCATTAGAGGTTCCAAGATCCCAGAGCATTGCATTCCATCAAGAAATGTGCTCCTGGGTTAGAACACAGTAAGATGTAAACCAGAACCACTTCCTGACCCTCTGAGAGGCCTGTTCAAGAGATGTTTCTGTGGCCTGTGGTCATTGAGCATTTAACGGGTTTTAATCAAGGGAGTCTGGAACTAGTTCTCTTTGTACGTTCAAAGGGCAAATTCTGCTTGCAATAGACATAATACAATTCTCAATCTTTGACCACAAATGGTTTGAGCTGTGTGTCCTTGTTTTTGAGGTACTTCTTTTGATTTCCTTGGGCCAAGAGATGGAAAGGGAAGGGTCAGTACAGAGAGTGGGAGTTAGCGGAGATGGTGATGGTCCTGCAGAGCAAAGGACTGAATGAACTCCCAACAGAGATGCGAATTTGAAAGTTGGGCTTGAAGGTGATAACTTGCTTTGTGCGTTCAAGCCTGGCCTGGAGGTCTTGAGCATCCTGTCACACACACCTCCTTGAGCACCTCCTCCCACTGTTTAGAGGCCCAGTCTGTGTACTGGACAAGTCTTTTGCCCCCTGTCCACATTAGTCTGTGGTCACCTAGTTTCAGGAATGATCCCCTAGCATACATGATGATGACATTTGAGAGGCATTGTCCAAACCAAACTCAAAAGCAAACCAGACCTTCTTCTCTTTTCCTTATAAGAAATTAAACAGTCGTGAGAACAAGAGAAGCTATGTACAGTGAGCATACATCTACCTCTACTAACTAACACTCTTGAGTTAACACCTATCTACATGGTACCAGAAACCCAGGAGGAACAGCCTCTTGCTCAAGAAGCCACAGTTGAAAATTGGCTTAACTACCTCAGTAACAAACTGTTCAGTGAAACCACACTGATGTCAAAGCAGAAAGAACAGATTAACTAACTTGCTTTAAAGCTTGTACATTTATATCATGTTTTGTCCTCCTGGCCAGGTCTGTATTGTGTTCATTTAGGAGACAGGGAGGTCTTGTCAACTGGCTTGAGAGCTGAGAAGAACCTAATTTAGTATTCTGCAGAATTATGTTTCCACCGAGGAAGCACAAGTGCTGCCAGAATTCCAAGTGGAGAGTTGTAACCCCTGCATTATGAAAACGTCAATGGAGGCTTAATCCAACACATCGATCTTTCCCCCCTTGGATATGGAAAGCCGGTTCCCTCCCCTACCCATCACACCACATACAATCCTAATCAAGCCTGTGAAACAGCAGACTCGGCAGCAGCAAACATTTCCAAACAACTCATGTCCCAAACCAGGAAATCAGCAACATCAACGGAGACATCGCTTGGATGTTTGAATAAATCTGTTTTACCTTGACCAACAATGCTGCCAAATAACCCGCAGGTAGAGAGGCCAAGGGCCTTAGCGCACATGGGCTGTGGGGCGGCTGGTGTCGTGGGCTGCGCCAGCATAGGGGCAGGGCCGTGGCTGATTAGCTACGCTCTTAGCAGCACTTATGTTGTGGCAACCGGGCAAACAGAGTAGGTTCTGGTGAAGATGAAGGCCACAGTGGGCCACGGAGGCATCTGTGAGCAGTCTGCACCGCAGGCTGGCAATGAATGGACCTTTCTGGGTTGAAGGAAGCTCAACATGGAGACATGGATTAAATCTATTTTTGTTGTTGTTGTTCTACTGAGAAAGAAAATAAAATACAAAATTCTACTCAACACCTAGAAATTTTAGGTGATGCAATTTCTGAAGGTAACTTGAAATGTTCCTTTCAGTGTCTGTGTCATTAAGAGATTTTTTTTTTTCACAGCCCCAGGGAAAATTATGAATGGAAGATACAGATTTTCAGTACGCAGTTTTTTCAGTTGGGTGCTCAGGAGATTTTTCCCTGGAGTCAGCAAGAGGACAGTTAGGGGCTATCCTGGCTCTTTCAGCAGTCTTCATGGTGGACACCACAGCGGTCCCTCGGGAGGGAACCTGCATTGAGCATGAAGAGACTGGTGCAGTATGATCATCTGGCACGTGGAGATAAAGTTAGAGAGGAAGAGGGGGACACTGAGCCAAAGGAAGAACTTTCTGCGCACATGTATATTTACACTGCATGTAAATGCATTTAAGTATATTTTATGTGTATTTTCAATTGACACTCGCCATGAATCAAACAGTATCTCAGACAGTATGCAAACTGCCGAGATGTTTGGCATGTGTCTTCTGATGACTCCTCATTAGCCCAGTGGTAAATGTGAGGAACCTTCTCTGAGATGCACGTACGACTTGGGGTATGAAACAACTCGGTGCCTTCATTTGGTAGCATAAAAATCCAGAATACCTCCATTTCAGTTTTTTTTCTTTTCCCTTTTTAAAAAATTGAGTCACACAGCTACAGAGCTGTTCATGATGGGATTTCAGTCATACAATGTTCTAACACCCGCCCCTCCACAAGTGTCTACTTCCCACCACCAATGACCTCCCATCACCCCTGTTCCCCCAGCCCATCTCTATGGCAGACACTTTTCTTCTTCCTCTTTGCCTCTGTCTCTGTCTCTCTCTTTCTCTCTCCTCCACCCTCTCTCTCTCTGTCTTCCTCTCCTTTTGCATGAGTTGCCATACAATATCTCAATCTCTAATACAACAAATATATTGAGGACTTTTTGTCCTGGATAGTCTAGTAACATAAATCTCAAGAGTCCCTAACTTATTCCTGTATACTAAGGAAGTTTTGAAAAGGAAGCAGAGACTGGCATCAGTCTGGATTCTGTGACCCAGAGAAGTCTTGAAATATTAACAATGCTTCTTTGCAATAAAAGGAATTCATTTACATGGTCAAAAGTATTTTTAAACAGTAAAGGTAGGAAATCTGTATTAAATCCTGCTAGTTCTTCTATCATTACTCTAAGTAACATATTTTTTTCTATATGTATCATCTTTAGACAGGACTAATGATTATTACTATGAGAGATGAGAGGGAAGACATTTAATATACTATCATATTGCTCCTTACAATTCTATAAGTCTATTATTACTTTTTAGTGTCTCCACTATTTATAACTTTAAGTAAATTTAATCTTCTGTATTGTGATTGACTTCTGAGATAAAATACTATGCAGAATGATGAAACTCATCATTCCAGTCTTTCCTCCTGCCTTTCCCCCTATCATATACTATTCTGCACAGCTATAAAGACCCCTTTTACAAATAGAAGATGTAAAATATCTTTATATTATTTTAGTGATTATTAAGGAATCATCATCAGTAATGTTAATTTAATGATTTGATTCGGATGTGCCTACAGGCCAATCAGAAATATTATAAATGCTAATATCATTGATAAAATTATGACACTATATGTATGTCATTAAAGGACAAAAACAGAATGTGACCTGTACAAATGTCACAAAATCTGAAAGGCAGCCAGTGTTTCTAGAACATATATCAACTGCATTCTCATTCATTTAAAAAAGTTGAATTTATTAGTTTTGAGAGCGAGGACTCCCTGGGGCATGCCTGAGTGTGTCTGAGGGCTGACAGGAATAAGCCTCATTGCATAACCCATGGAAGGCATCTCTGCTGCCGTGGAACCCACATCCTAGATCCTGCACTAACATTCTTATTTTTTTTAATGCAACAGGTTAATCTCAAAGAAAGGTTATGTTTTTCTTAAGGTAAATGCAGTCTGTATATGTGTCTTAAATATCTTTTGAAATAAAAGAATATATACTCCACCCCCCCCACCCCACGCACATATCTTTCAAAATTTAAAACGAGCAAACTGTGCGAACCATGTCAGGGCCAGAATATGGGACAGGACCGAGAAATAGCCCAGAAGCCTTGTCAGCATCTTCTTGCTGTTGCCCCAGCAATCCGGGGGTGGACAATGTGCTTATCATTCTCTTTCTTCTCTGCAATTTTTCTTCACCAATGTATTTATAGGTAAATAAAGTATTCCTTTTCTTAAAAATTGTAGTGATTTACCAGTGGTTTACAATCCTTTACTATTTTGTAAGTCCAGCTTCACAGCTCTATATGTGTAAAGGTTTGCGTCGCTCACCCAAAGTCCCAGGGCACCCCACATTGTTAAGTGATTCCCTCTCCCAACTTCTTTCACCCACTTTCCCTTTCCTCCAGTAAATACCAAATACCCTCCTGTACTCCCCCCCCCCCCCCACCCGCCAACCCCGCCAACACACACACAGAGACTATGAGTCAAGTAACTTTGCTTTTCCTGAATTTAACCTCTTCATGAACAGGGTGAGACTGTATCATTTCTTCTTATGGGCATTTACAAAGCTATGGATGACCAAACACTGGCAGCCACACACGCCCTTTCTGGGCACTTATTAGAAATCCTGGCAGGGAGGTGGGCTACCCCATCTTTACCAGGAAAACACAAACTGATCTCCAAGTTCACCTAGCATCCCACTTTAACGCTACTTCTAATAACATGAAATGTAAATGTATTGTGGGGTTTGCATTCCCCAAGTACCAATGGGAAAGATATTTGGTCTCTGCACTTCTGTGACCTTCCCCTTCACTTATGACAAAGCATTTGATCGTATTTTTTCTCCTCTAACTCA